TTGCACACGTGTGGGGAAAATTCGAAAAATATTTTCCGTGGAAAATTTCATCTATCAAACAGCCAAAAAAAGTGGAAAGTGGAAAATATTTTCCTATTTCCCCGGAAAATGTGGCCTATCAAACACGGCCTAAGTTCCAATTGTATTTGATGCACGAGATCAAGGCCATGTTTGTTGAGCAAATTCAATCGAAAAGTGATAAATCAAACCGTAGTATAGTCCAGTAAGTATTTTTGAATTGACGAGCAATCATTTTTGACAAGTAGAACCGATCAATTTTTAAAACTCGAGTGACTTGTAATCCACCAGAATCACTAAATATTTCAACACCCAATACTATCTTCGCACGAAAAAAGATGGGCTCACCCAAAGCCTCAAATCTCGATTGTTAGAGCGCTTTTACACTTACATCAACCTTTGGGACCCTCATGCGCGTCTCACACTTATGTATCAACGCCTTGAATAGTTCGTTTAGTCCCAGCAAGTGGAGGTTTCGAAGAAGAGGAACAATGATCTTTTCTAGGCACAAATACGCCTCTAACAAAATAGCCCTTCGAGATCGAGCGACGCCAGTAGACTGGGGGTCAGGTTCATTTGAAAATAGGGATGACAATGGGGCGGATATGAGACGGGTTGGCCGTCTCACCCCCATCCCATCGTGTTTTTTTGTTACCTTACCTCATCCACATATCCTGTTAAAGTGAAACAGGGCGGGGCAAATCTTCTACCCCATTTATCGTCCCATTTTATTTATTTTATTTTTTACTTTTTATGTTTTTAATTAGTAAATATTATTAGTTTTTTACAAATTTATTAAAAACAATTTATGTTCTCTTAAAAAATGACGATAAATCTATTATTTTTATTTGATAAAAAACTTAAATTTGAAATTAATTTTGAAAGGAGTGGGTAGCGGGGGCGGGGACTATGTTTCCCGTACATGTCTCATACCCGCTTCGGGGCAATGACGTTCGTCCCGTCCCCGCCCTGTTTACCCGATTAGACGAGTAATTCCCGCTCCATTCGGGGTGGGACCCCGCGGATATCGAGTTAAAAGGGTTTTTTTGCCATCCCTATTTGAAAAGCTCAAATATGGCCAGCCCTTTTGATAATTGGAAAATTGGAGTGAATGATCCCGAATCTTTGCTCAAATTGCATTTTTGTACAAACATTTCAAATTAGTGCAAATGATCATTTTGGACTGAATCCATTCAAATGGGTAGCTAATTTTGTGGTTGGAGTGCAATTGCCCTTATTTTGTTAACATTTCAAGGAACAATTTTGTCAAATGACTTTCTCCAATGTAAGAAAGGTAATTATATTACCACTACAAATTTTAATTACTACATCACATTATAATCACGTCACAATTAAAATATGTTTTTTAATAAATACACCACAACAAATTTACAATTATACTCCCAATTCAGTAAAAACAAAAAATTGAAAACAAGAATACAATATTGTGGTGTACTTATCACCCAATATTAAACCTTATTTTTCTCACATTTTCCCTCGTTCTGGTTTTTTTGAAAACAAATATATATTAATTTATAAATGAATGCTTCAAGAAGACGTTAACTTTGAAATGAAAGTGCTCGGAGATTATCTTCTTAATTATGACACTTTTGATGAGCTGAATCAAAATAAAACTCAAATTTGGGGTAATCAGAATAGACTTGCATGCTTTTGATTGTTTTAAATTCAAAATAAATCTGCTCGAGTTAACAAAAAACCAGATTGTTAATTTCCAAAATTGATAAATAAATTGAAAATTTTTATCAGTAATCGTGGTCAAATAGAGTATAAATTCATTTATCGTGAGGAAAAAAGATTATCTTGTCGCCGTGGAAGAAAGCAAAAGCCGCCGGAAAAAGTCATGAGCGATGAGGTGTCAAGGAAAAAGAAATAGATAAACTAGGTTTTATATTTGTGGTGTGACAATAATTTATTTGATTAAAAAGTATATTAAAACTTTAATTATGTAATTTTATTTAAGGATATTTAAGTAAATAAGGAAATTGTGGTGTACTTAGGGTCCGTTTGATTG